CTGAGGATTGTGGAGCACAGACTGAATGCCCCACAACAAATCTGGTCCCTAAGTCCCAGATAGCACATACCGTGTCTACCTTACCAGTCACAGACATCCCAAAGAAGGGATGGATTGACTCCTTCACCGATTCCTGACAACACTAACTGCAACATGAACATCAGCGTTACTTGGAGGATGGTGTAATCGCAAAGAAACCAGCACTGACCTGATACAGCACTAAGAGAAAGAACAAAAAAGAAGCCAGAAAGCACTGTGGCCAAGCAGAAAAGGGTTGTGAATACAGAGCTATCTGGAACCCGTTCACTGCTTTGTTCTTAATCTGCTGTGACACTACAGAAGGCACTACCCTCCCAAGAGCTGCTCACAGCCCGCCAGTTCTTCACGGCAGTGTTTGTTTCACCCTATGTGATCACATCTTGGCTGGAGTCCCCAGATACTACAGTAGCCAAAAATGAATATTGACAGCAAAGGTAACCTTTCAATAATTTCTGACTGGTGACAACATGTCCCAAGCACCCCAGATCAGGCAGAGACAGCGTCTCATTCTCCAGCTACCCGCTTTCCAAAGTGAGCAAGACAGGTAGATGGAAAAAGGAGGCATGTTAGGACTACAACAAAGTAATGCCTTTAGGGCTTTTCTTCCACTAATGACTGTTCTGTGAACAACACCAGTTTATGACTATAGTTCAGATTTATTTTTTGCTTTCCAGTATTTCAAGAGTTTAATTTTGCATCAAGTAACACAAGTGTTTAAGAGCAAAGCTCTTCTAAGGCTTCTTTCTCTGCAAATTATGTTGAAATAAAAGGATATGGTAAAACGCAAAGTAGCATATATGGAATGAAACTACTCAAACTGGCAGCTTATGCAATTCCTTTGGAATGGAATTTGGCCTTCAGCTGCAAGTTAGCAAGTGGTACTTGTTTTTCCATAAGGCAATCAGTTATTAGAAGTCACTGCCGCAGCATACTTTCAAAGAATCAATGATGTTAGCTTTGAAATCAGGTGTTGGAGGGCAGCTCTGGGGAAAAGGACCTTGGAGTCCCAGTGGACAAGAGGGTGACCACCAGCCAACCGTGTGCCCTCGCGGCCAAGAAGGCCAGTGGCATCCTGGGGTGCATTAAGAAAAGCGTGGCCAGCAGGTCGAGGGGAGTTATCCTCCCCCTCTGCTCTGCGCTGGGGAGGCCTCCCCTGGAGTGCTGTGTCCAGTTCTGGGCTCCTCAGCTCAGGAGGGACAAGGAGCTACTGGAGAGGGGCCAGCGCAGGGGCACTGCGAGGATGAAGGGCCTGGAGCACCTTCCACCTGAAGCTGGGGCTGTTCAGCTGGAGAAGAGGAGGCTGAGGGGGATCTTATCAATGCTTATCCATATCTAAGGGGTGGGTGTCAGGAGGGTGGGGCCAGGCCCTTCTCAGTGTGTCCAGGGACAGGACGAGGGGCAGTGGCCATGAACTGGGAAACAGAAGGTTCAGCCTGACCATGAGGAAACCCTTCTTCCCTGTGAGGGTGACAGAGCCCTGAACAGGCTGCCCAGAGAGGGGCTGGAGTCTCCTTCCCTGGAGACTTTCCAGAGCCCCTTGGACTTGTTCCGGTGTGATCTGCTCTAGGGGATCCTGCTCTGGCAGGGAGGTTTCACTTCAGCATTTGAACGGTGGGAGACGTACAGCACACCACCACAACGGCCTCGATGACGCTTGCTTACGAAAGGTTAGCCAGACAGCCAACAGCCACCTACCTCTATCAAGGCAATAAAACACACTTGCTCTTTCTCTCTTTAAGCCACTGGGAACACGGCTCATTTTTCATCTTTCTTTTTCTGTAGAGCAGCATTGTTTCACTCGGGACTAGAACTGCAAACGGGGCATATGCCGCGATTCTCTTGGCAGTTCCAGGGCCCTTCTGGTGCACGCCAACCAGAGGTTTCCCATTAGCACAAGTCCCTTAGAACTACCTGGGACAGAAGAGAGAGGTTTCTACTCACCCTTTATCTCTTTGGTGAATTTTACTCGATGAGAATCAGTCAGAGGTCTCGGTTGTTCATCAATATTATGAATGTCAAGAACTTCACACATAAACTGAATTACAGGTTGTGCTTTGTAGAAGGCAGTGGCAGAAACTAAAGAGAGAAAAATATTAAGTGTAAAAACCCCCAGGTCAGAACGTTGTGCAGCAGTATATAAATGAATGCTTTTTAAAATTCCACATAGCCCTCAAGCAAACCCTCTGCAGCGCACGTTTTAAAAACAGATTAGCAAGCTTTGCAACAACTAAGTACACAGAAGCCAGCGCAGGGCCCACAGTGACACACTGGTCCCCAGCACAGTCATCCTGCAACTACTTTGCATTTCAGGGTTCCAAAAGGGGTTTTTCTCTTCTCCCCAGACAATATTTATTTCTAGAGAGCCGTAATGTCCCAGAGACTGTCTCTTTTGACTCTGTGTCGAGCTGCAAGCAGAGACAGGATTAATATCTCTCTCCTGGAGACTTTTCCATGTGAAAAGCCAAGACTTTCCATATGCAATGTAATTTTGTCAACTGTAAGATCAGCTCAAATACTGAAACCATCTTTGGTAGCAACGTGAGCACTGTTTTGCCTCCACCAAAATTATATTAGCGTAGTCGTGAGTGCAACCCTTGATCTACCAAAACCTCTTACCCACCCTGCACACTAACAACACAATCACATTAAGTGACTATACGGTTTTTAGACAGGACTGTTGACTCATTCCAAGGAAGGAAAACCATTAACTATCTGCTTGATAAAGGTATAAGCAATTGAAACAAGACCTTTTAGTAAGACAGGTGAGGTGGCACCAGGGATACCTCAGACACAAGCTGCTCCACACATTCAAAACTTCAAATGGCAACAACAGAAAAGAAACACTTGACAAGCATTTTGTCAGTTTTCCAGATGTCATGTCCCACAAGCGACACAGATTTTGCAGAGAATCTTGGATAAGTTAAACAACTAAACCAAAATCAAGTGACGGCATTTGAATGTAAGAGTCACAGCCTCAAAGCACAACACAGTGATCGCCTCGTAAGCTGTAGCTTACAAAGTTCTTCAGTTTCTCAGTCATGGAAAGGACTGAAAAAAATTCTACTGAGTTTAACTACTACGTCTTCTAATGCTGGGAAGAAAAACTTGCTTCACAAAGTAATAGCACAGTACAGCATAACTTGGTATAAACTCATACCCTAGTCCTACCCAAAGTGTAGTTATCTCAGTAGCGAGCACGCAGACACTCCTACTGGTTATTTCTCAGACTGCTAAGACTTTTACATTTATTTTTCAAATGACATCTATGCCATGGCTGCTCTCTGAAAGGTCATTTCACAAGCACAAACCTATCTGAAGTCACATCAGTGTCATCCATGAGTTCGGTAAACCAGAACACGTGGACTTGCATGGTGAAAGCTCAGTGTCACCTGCAACATTTCATTATGCTCCAAGACAGACGCTCAGCACAACCTGACCTGGAGAGCTTAACCCAGTGCAAAAAAGACAGACTATTCACCTTGGGTTTAGAAAGCATTTCAAACAGACAGCAAGAACAGAATGTGAATTGGAGACTTCAGGCAGCACCTGCAGCTCAAAGGCTGACACTTCTCAATAGGGGTTTAACAACTAAATAGGCTCAGAGCGCTTACAGCACCAAGGAGTCCGACACAGGCACGGGTTGATCTCGGATGCATTCATCTGGCGCTTAATAAAGCGGTGCATAGCAGAGCTGATTTTGCATAAGAAAGCCCACCTCAATTAGCCCTATTCACAGAAGCGTGTGAGATATGTTTTACAGGGTTTTCTTGGAAGTACTGAACAACACCTACTGTGGACAGCTGCACGGAGACGCGTCTTAAGCAATTTGCCTGCATTACCGTGGGTGCACCAATACAGAAAATCAAGTAGAAAAACAAGCTATGCTAGGCTTTTCCTTCCTACGCAGGAATATTTTTTTTTTTTTTTAATATGGCAGGTAAATTTCTGCTGAAATGCTCACAGGAGATCAGATCCAGAGAGAGACTTGCATTTCCAGGCAGCATAGGTCTGGTGTGAACTGGCTGAGCAGGAGGCCAACGTAGGCACACTTCGTTACCACGGCCTCACTCCGCTATTATCACTAAAACGTCTGCAGCAGCCTGACTTCCCCGCTGACGGTGTGTTTCATCAGGATACTGAGACAACTGCTAAATCTTCGAACAAGAATGCTAAGTATTTTTCAAGTGAAAATCCCTCATCTAGAAAGCAACTCAAGTTGGAAAGTTTTCTTATTCTGATATAAATTCTAGCGAAATACCCCAAGCTACTTGAACTACTATTTACAGAATTAATTAAGACATCAGTGTACGAGGCGGCTTCTGGTCACTAAATCCCTCTTGCACAGCTGGCACCAAAAGTTATCACCACACAGCAATGTGGTACCACAAACTCAAACACCTGACAGTACAATGACAGAGTGGCCATTTTTATTAATTAGAAATGGAAATTTTTATTCTTAGAGGCATGTTTATTATCTTTATGCTTAGCCCCGACTCCCAGCTTACCATCAATATTGAGCATCATCTTCCACATGGCAGGCCGAACAGACTGATGGAATCCGAACCAGACCTCCCTACCCCCACCCAAGGGGTGATCATAACCTTCTGGAGCTGAGAAAAAGGAGCGGCCCACAGGGGTATACCTAGTGAGAGAGACGACCACACGTTTATGCTACTGCTCTCCAAATAAATACACTATAATAGAGATTATAACACACAGAATCATTATTTTGTTTATTTTTAAGCACCTGGAATCTGTGCCTAGAACCCAGCTTAAACAATGTGCTCCTTACGCTGCCATTCCCGCTGCAGTGGTTTTAAATTCAGCCAAAAGATTCGCTTGTTTTAGCCACGCACAACCACTTTCAGTTTTTACAACAAATCAAGAACTAAGTTAATTTACCCTTTCTGATCTTCCCCTTCAAGAAAATATGATCTCCATCACAGCAAATTCTTGACAACAGCACTGTATATGCTGGACTGACACTCAAATATATGATTTCACACGTTTTACTAAGGAATGTTTGAATGCAACATGCACCGAGGGAAGGAAAAACTATGGTGGAAACAAAGAACTAGAGAAACTAGTGTTTCTCCCCTGGGTGGAAAACAGATGCTCCTCCTCCAAACCTCCACGCCTCCTCACTTTTGTAATGGACAGACATTAGTAGAGAGGTCAACATCTTCCCTGTTTCCTTAAAACCACGAGTCATTTTTCTAAGTCAGTTCCACCCAAGAAAACCCACCAGTGCAAAGGCATCCTCCTGGCCAACGCCAGCGAACTGGGAAAGTAACTTTCATTGACCAAATAAAGCAAAATTCATTTCACCTTCTCTAACATTTCAGGGGAATAACAGGACTTCGTTAAGACAGGTATCTGGTCCCAACTGAGTATTTAAAATGTGACAAGCATGCATCACTGAGAGTTGTATCAATCAATTAAAACGACTTGTGCTTTTAGACAGTCATTGCCATCAAGCGCATGATTCTTGGCTCAACTTGAGCAGAAAACATGAAAGCAGCGCTACAGCATCCTGTAATCTCCCCCCTATTTCAATTAAGGGCTATTATGTGTCTCTTGTTTCCTGATCTTTTCAAACAAATACATCACCTGCTCCGGAGTTTAAACGTCTACAGAAATACACACTTCTACATAAGTAGCTTCAAGCTCCCCAGTTCAGCTAACCAGCTGTGCTGCACAGGGGATGATCCGTTTTTCCTTCCACCTCTCAAGAAACAGGGCTGAAGGTCTCCCGGGGGAGATACGTCAGGTAAAGAGACTACAGGAAGACAGGGAACCTACTTCATGGAGGGTAGGTGTCGTAGCACCACATCGACAGCATGAACAGGGTTAGTGCTGATAGGTTTGTCTAGTTCCAGAGGCTCAGGCAAGGTTCTTCCTGTCAAAACTTCATGCAGCAAGTGCCAGCTCACCCGAGAAACAAACTTTATTGACACTTTGAAGGGACGATCTTTTCCACCTTCTCCTGGTAATGTCACATCCAAATCCACCTGGGCGGGGGAGGAAAAGATAAAAAAAGACATCTGTTTAATCTCTGGTAGCCTTGAGTTTTCCCTCCTTCCCACAGCCAGGCTAGACACTCAAACCCTCAGATATTTAGGACACATTCGATAGAAGTACGTTATCAAATGCCCAAAATGAAGAGAGCTGGGTCCTCACCAAGCAGAAGGGGATCATGGAACATTTTGTCATCTTGAATCAGAAAACTCTTCATTGCAGAGAAACTGTAGTTCAGTCTTTTAATAGTACTGCATCGTAAGATCATGCATTACAGTCTGTAAAACTGGGTTTTTCAACAGATTTTGCTGTAGAAAGAGGCTACTAAATTCTAGGGCAGGTTCTGAATTCAACTCCTACACGCACATTTACACATATGGGAATTTGCAGGAAACACATTAGAAGGACTCTGTTTCGATTCAGACACTGTAAGATACTTTGGGGTTTTCCAAACTCAACAATATTAGACATTGGGCTTCTTTCTTTTTCCTAAGAAGCTGTTAGAAATACCTTTTTTCCCCCAGTTATCTTACCCCAGTAGTGGCCACAGGGAGTGGATTGGCTGTATAGAGGCTTCTTTTCCCATCATAAACCGGTCTACGGTCCCCAAATATTGTCACTTTAAAATGCTGCACCATCGAGTCCACCACCTCCCTGGAAAAGTCGATGTTTACACTGAAGATGTTTTCACAGAAGCATCAGACTGGAACTGGCTCCCACACCCCCTGTGTTTTGCTGAAGTAGTTTCAACAAATGTATTACTCAAGGGAATTACAGAACACCCACTGATATTCCGAAAAGGTGCTTCACACACTTCAACTGAAATAACAGATAAACACTGAAGGATAAATCCATAATCAATGCAAATGCCTAAATACTGGAGAATATTGTTACTAATTTCAGACAGTCCCAGAAGTGGCTGAGGCCTCTGGATAAGCTTTCTTACACCAAGCAAGGACACACTTACCTTGGAAGAAGCCCACAAAAGCTGGTATTATGAAAAGCTCGTGCAAACTCACCACTGGAAGCTCTGCCAGTTGGCAGAAACAGCAGTTAATTGTACGTCTACCCAGTAACGTTTATCAGCTCTTCAATAAAGTTTTGCATTCTGCCTACATCGCATAGAAAAATGAGGTACCCCAACAAGAAAGGTTGGGGACTTAAAGAAAGCTTTAGTCCTTAATAATCTGAGCTTCTACAACAGAATCAATTAAAAGGTTGATCAAATTTGCACACAACTATAGATTCTCCTTTCTCTACTATGAGTTGTTGGCAATAAAAAAAACCAGTAACCTGATACAGGCACTGAAACTTTACTTGAAAAAAAAAACACCCTAACACTTTCACCTTCTATAAAAGAAGGCTTCTTGATACAAGCAGCAGATGCATTGGGTCCAAAGAGACTTTTGCAATCCCTCGGAAACATGCTGTCAGGATTTGAATTCTTTGGGGATTCGTTGCGTTTCAGTGGCACAACCATATCTCACTTGATAGAGCATAACCCCCTTGCTCTACAGAATTTAAACACGTCTCTTAAGCACATGCAAAACAGCATTCTGGCAGAGCAGCAGCTTAGGAGTCCACCGTTCCCTGACCAGGCAGTACTGACCTAAGACGATAACTAAACACCCACGGGAGCAGATTCCTACTAACTCAATTCAACAGCTGCTACTGCAACCAAAAAAAGGCAACTGCCCACAGCCAAATCGTATTTACCCTGCCCTGAGGAACGGGGGTGGCTGGCACATGGTTCATGAAGCACCGTGACCACTAATGGCTGGCCCATGTCACGGCACCTGGCCACGACCAAGCGGTAAAGGACTTGGAACAGTCTCTGTACCTGTCCCACAGGTTGTTTGGGAGAACTTCACACAGGTCTCCACAGCAAAGTTCTCAGATTTTAAGCTATAGAGACTATATTTATTCCAGTAGGTCCCTCTGTTGCTGAAAAATTTCAGTATCAGTGTAATTTACACAACAAATGTCACCTTCTTACCTGTTCACCCTCCTAGGACACTTATCTGGTTTGATATCCACCTCATAGAGGTAGACATCGATCTTTGGGATTTCAACTTGGAAGCAGTTGGCCAGCAGTTTAATGGGTTTGCCCATGGTGCCATAGCCAGGACGTCTGGGCACCATGAGTAGGGGCTGTGCCCCGACGGGTCCTGCAGGAGAAAACAAACATCCCTGATCAGAAGAGAAGCACAACAGATGCTGTACCACAACAGCACTACAGTTCGGCAGTTTAGAAATACGCGAGGCTCCTCGTGTTTGCAGGTACGTGTACTCGTCTCCCACCGAGACGTCCAAACGTTCTCCCTTCTCCAGCCCTAGGCAACTCCCTGGATGGACTCGCAGGATGAGCAGGCGGCACCAGAGCCAGCACGCTGGAAGAAGGGAAAGGCGCTGTGTCAACAGCATACAGCGTGCTGACCCACTGAGTTCCACATCAACACTTGCCCAGGTTTCCTCCGTGAGCCTCCACCCACATCGAGACTCCTTCCTCACTGATGAGTAGCACAAATAATTCAGATTTCCTAAACAACAAAAAACCTGTGCTTCTCCTTGTAACCTTTTACTGCCGTGCAAATCCTCTCTGCCATGAAAACAGTCTTTTCTGAACACCCCAGTAAACGCGAAGTTGCCCAGAACACAAGGGTGCGGAAGCTGCTCTGGACTGATGTACCACGTTGGCGGCAAACTCTTTAATTTCACTGCCATTATTAGCTTGGTCTTGGCAGGCAGATTGTTCCTGAACTTTGCTGGCTGAAAATACATGAAGAGTAAAACCATTAGCTCCTGTCTAACCGCACCGATAAAGCCGATTGACCAGGGGCAGAAAGATTAAGTCACAGGATTGTAAAACTCCTGATTACATACACATTAGAGAGAATACCCATAGCTGCCTCGAGAAACCATCAAAACCCACCCTAAGAGATGGGTATTTTGAAAGTTAAAAGCCCTTGTCTAGTAATATATGTTACATTCTTATCTGGCTATCTGTTTCATCTGCTTTGCATCATTTAGATGAAAACCCTCAGCTCAAGATCTGGGTTACTCATGCCCTGTAAAACCAAACACAGTAGTAAACATAGTTCACTTTCAAGAATCTCTACTGGTATTTCCACTTGAAAATACCACTCTGCAGCCAAGAAGTAACAACAGAACCGACACGCTTTGCAGCCCAAGTTTTAAAAAAATTACTCATCGCACAAATGTCGTGATTTACAGAGTATTCGATGAAGTTAGAAGTTCTCCCCTCTACGCCTACTCAGTGACGCAGATAGCAACTCCAGCCCACTCATTTTCATGCAAGAGTTAAAATGTCAAGTGCTGGTAAAAATGTCTTATTTGCCTTTTGATTAATCTCCACCATTCCCAGGGGGGGAAAAAAAAAAAAGCATTATCTTGAAGGAAACCGTGTACTGAGAATAGGTGAACATCAAAGCTGAGTTCCACTGTAACATTTGTCTGGCTCTACCCAGAAACCTACCCAAAAAATGTGAGTGGGCTTGGCTTTGAGCCACAGATAAAACAAAAACATAAACCAAGCAGCATCATTTAAAACACCCTCACAGACTGTGCTTCTGCAAAACTTGTTCCAAGCATCTGTTCTCTCCAACTTTTTCTTCTCTCTAATACCGCCACAGGAGTACAAGCAGCTCTACCATTTACTCCAGATACATTTTCAGAGTGTAAGCACAGGCGAAGAGTTACTACTAAACATCTGAGTGACATGAATGACTCAACAGCTTATTTAATATTAAAAGACATAGTTTAGATTTAATTCATATCTGTAGGAAATGCTAACAAACCTGCTGGAATAAAACCAGCATTAAAGGCTGCCATAGTCCGGTCTGCTCTGCCTCCCTCTACCCTATTTGGTAAAATCATGTAAAACATAAAAAGCGTTGCTAAAACCTGTAAGCACAGAAGAAACAGTCGGTGTGAAGACAATCTTCGTGGAGGTGAAGAATCATAGAATGGTTTGGGTTGGAAGGGACCTTAAAGATCATCCAGTTCCACCCCCCCTGCCATGGGCAGGGACACCTTCCACTAGACCAGGTTGCTCCAAGCCTCATCCAGCCTGGCCTTGGACACTCCCAGGGATGGGGCATCCACAACATCTCTGGGCAACCTGTCCCAGTGCTCCCCACCCTCTCTGTGAAGAATTTCTTCCTGATATCTAATCTAAACCTCCCTGATTTCAATTTGTACCCATTACCCATTACCCTGAAGTGCATGGAACAGGGCAATACGGGATGGCTGAAACCTTTGCCACCAACTCCGCTGGAAGCTGCACTAAGCCGAAGTTTTTACCTGAGCACTCAGCTGCTGGAGAAGGCAAACCCCTTCACGGGAATGCTATCCCGTTATTTAGCCCTCCACTTAGATTAACAGAACCTTGGGGATCGACTGCCCAGGGACAAAAACCTCAACCACAGAAATCGTATTTGGTTACTGCTATGAGTCAGGGCGCCCTTCAAAATCCTGGGTCAGAAAAGAAATGCGCTACCCGGAGCCAAGTAGGCAAGCAGGCCTCCAACCTCCGCTTGCCGGAAAACTGGCGACCAACACACCAAAATACCAAACGCCACATGAAACGACCAGACAACAGCTTTCTTCAGCCTCGCTCGTTCGGCCGGACTACAGGCAGCTCTGCAGGAAACAGCTCACCCTGGAAGAGATGTTGTGGATGCCCCATCCCTGGATGTCTTCAAGACCAGGCTGGATGTGGCTCTGAGCAACCTGGTCTAGTGGAAGGTGTCCCTGCCCATGGCAGGGGGGCTGGAACTGGATGATCTTTAAGGTCCCTTCCAACCCAAACCAGTCTGTGATTCTATGATTCTATGAAGCTGCCACCCAGATTTTGGCAAACGGGAATTAAGTACCAACAGGTGAGTAGAGAATTGCACGTCTACACGCTATTCGGGAATAATTTTTAAAAATTCAGCCGATTTTGCTACCATTTCATGTGATACCTTGGAAAAGTTAACTTCGAAACAGGTGTATGTCGCAATTCAACTCTGCTATCGCTGTCCAAACGCACCAGCATCCCCTCAGAATATCCTGCTTTCAAAACACACCGGATCGCCCAACCGCACGCTGTGAAAGTCCGTGTCACCGGCTCCAAACCTGTGACTCAAATCCCAGCACAACATAAATAACGAGCGACGCTCGCCGAGGACAGCTACCGCTCCCGTATCGCATCCATGACTCACCCATCCTCATGCCAAAGTCCTGTGTCAAGCTAATGGAAATAAACACACCAACCAAAACCACTAAAAGTAGTGTCATTCTAAGTGGAACAGGAAGACTGCTCAGGAGACTGACTCCACGTTACTTAACTAATCTCCACAACAGCATTCCCGCAGCACGACCCCGCTCTGCACCATCCGCTCACCCACAAGAGATGTTTTACAGCAGAAACTTCTTCATGTTCAAGAAACTACTGCTGCGCTGCCATTTGCAATCCCAGCACAAGGACAGGCTGGGTGGAGAGCGGACCGAGAGCAGCCCTGAGGAGAAGGACTTGGGGGTGACGGTGGATGAAAAGCTGGACATGAGCCGGCCGTGTGCACTGGCAGCCTGGAAAACCAACCCCATCCTGGACTGGATCCAGAGCAGTGTGGCCAGCAGGTCGAGGGAGGGGATTCTCGCCCTCTGCTCTGCCCTTGTGAGACCCCCTCACCTATTCTGTGTCCAGCTGTGGAGCCCTCAACACCAGAAGGATATCGACTGGTTGGAGCGAGTCCAGAGGTGGCCACGGAGATGCTTCCAGGAGCTCTTCTGCCATGGGGACAGGCTGGGAGAGTTGGGGGGTTCCGCCTGGAGAAGGGAAGCTCCAGGGAGACCTGAGCGCCCCTTCCAGTGCCTGGGAGAGCTATGAGAAAGCTGGGGGGACTTTTTCCAAGGGCGGGGAGTGACAGGACAAGGGGTAACGGGTCTAAATGGAAAGAGGGAGATTGAGATGGGACATCAGGAAGGAATTCTTCCTGCAGAGGGTGGGGAGCACTGGGACAGGTTCCCAGAGAAGCTGTGGATGCCCCATCCCTGGAAGTGTCCAAGGCCAGGCTGGATGAGGCTTGGAGCAACCTGGTCTAGTGGAAGGTGTCCCTGCCCATGGCAGGGGGGTTGGAACTGGATGATCTTTAAGGTCCCTTCCAACCCAAACCATCCTGTGATTCTATGATTAGAGCATCTAATATGTACATACACCTACCTTGTTCTTAAAAATCCAAGGAAAAACCATAAACGGAGACCATTCAGCATGCCAGAATAGTACTCGATTCACAAGCCAGTCAAGGAAAGTCCCCAGCATTGGCAGTCAACTGATTTGTAACAGGGAACAATGAATACACAGCTACTAAAACTGGTGCTTCAGACAGATTCTTGGAAGGCGTTTACACAGCACGGGAGTACGCTTCCAGACACGAGATCCACCACTGAATAACCTGAACCTTCTGAAAGCAGTTACTCATTAAAAACATACAGGAAAAAACCTGCCGAGGCAATATTTAACCAAGCATTTAAATCCGCAATAACACAGGGGAGAGAAAATAATCCCCGCGGGACCTAAAGGTGTATCAGTTTATAAACTGCCATTCGTAGCATTTGCTGAGGTCATTGTTTATGAACATCCCTCAGCAATGTTGGAAGACTCTTCTCCCACAAGTCGAGGCTCAAGAAACAAGAAGGAACAAAAGCCCTTCCAACCGACCTGCAAACAGACAAATCCTGAACCACGAAAGCTCCAGCTACTCCGTTCACCAACAGCGAGCTGCGCGCAGTGACCACGCTTTGCTCCCGACCACCCTGCCACGTTCGCCAGCGGGCACCCTGAATCCCCGCTGCGTTTCACAGGGGATTTACACCAGTGTTTCCCACACGCGGGACATCACTGTTCCAGCCACCGTGCACAGGAACACGAGGGGGTTATCCGTGCCTCCCGCCCTGGGCTGGGTAATGCCAAACGACCTATGGCCCGTAGGCAGGCAGCTCACTGATGGGCAACACGGACAGTATTTTGAAGAGCTTTGCTGATATTTAATCATAGGACCACAGGATGGTTTGGGTTGGAAGGGACCTTAAAGATCATTTAGTTCCAACCCCCCTGCCATGGGCAGGGACACCTTCCATAGCCCAGGTTGCTCAAAGCCTCA